TCAATCATTGGGGTTCGAGCTTTGAAGCTGGGAAATTCCCACTGTACTGAAACGAGTCCTTTCCATAAGGATCACCAGATTCTTTGCTTGCGTCCTCGTACGTTCTTGAAGTCGATGCTGAATCTACATTAGGGTTTAATCCTGCAAGCTGCATTATGTTCTCAATCTCTTTCACAACCTCACCCATCGATGGCCTATTCACTCCCTCTTCCTCAACACATCTCAGAGCTAGATCCACATACTTCTCAAACCCTTTCAGATTCCCACTGCTTGCGATGATCGTCGTGTCAAGTAGTTCTTGCAGGTCATACAAGCTCCTTGATTTATCCATTTTTGTCTTCACCTCTCTCACCACGTATTTGCCTCTCTCTATTGGACTTTTACCAGTTAACAGCTCAAGCATTACCACACCAAACCCGTACACGTCGCTCTTCTCCGTCAATTGATTCGTCATGTAGTACTCAGGATCCAAGTAGCCCTAATCAAGTACAAAGATATTGTGATGAGTCTGAATGTAACAGAGAAAGAGAGACATGATGATGTTTGATTCTTTACTCACCATGGTTCCTTTTACTTGTGTTGTCACATGAGTTTTTTCAGGGTCTCCCACAAGTTTGGACAGGCCGAAATCTGCAACCTTTGCGGTTAGATTTTCATCAAGTAATATGTTATTTGATTTGATGTCTCTGTGTATGATTGGAGGATCAGCAAGCTCATGAAGATAAGCCAGACCCTTCCCTGAGCCAAGAGCTATTCTAAGCCTTCTTGTCCAATCCAGTCTAATCCCACTCTTCCCTGCATTATTGCCACACCCAGTGAGTTGACTATCATAATTCCTCTGAGGAAGAGAGATGGTTGATATTTACCTGATAGGCTGTCTCTAAGAGAGCCATTTGGAATGTACTCGTATACGAGCATTTGTTCATTTCGATCAAAGCAGAAGCCCAAGAGTCTGACAACATTCTTATGATGGACCCTTGAAAGAAGCTCGATCTCAGTTTTGAACTCCAACCCTCCTTGCAATGATCCTTGTTGAGCTCTTTTGATTGCTATGAGTTGCCCAGAAGGAAGAATCCCTCTGTACACCTGTTTCACCATCAGAACTGGAATCAGAATTCCATCTAAGGCCACTGCTACTTTCAAGTGAGGTCATTTCAAAAACAAACCTTTCCATAACCCCCACCCCCAACATCATTTGCCTCTGAAAAGTTGTCTGTACATTTCTTCAACTCTTCGAAAGTAAATGCTTTTGCTCCCATTAGACGTGGAGCATCGATACTGCTCTTACTCGTATCCCACTTGGCTGCATTATGCAAAAGAGTAGCTGTGAGCATTTTCAGTCATGTGAGGAGCCTTTTTGTAGTAGTAAATGTTTTCTCTTTACCAAAAGGATTATTTTGATCAGTTGCTCTCTCTGCTCTCTTCTTCTGCCTCAGGGCGTAAACACCAGCTATCGTTAACAAGAGCAAAAGAACCACAGCACCAACAACTGCTCCGATTATGATCCCCTTGTTTGCTGACTTGGAACCTCCAACATCTGTAGCCAAAAAGGGGCAGAGCAAATGAGTCATATCAAGTCGATATAAATTCGGTTTGGTTGTGTGTATTGATCATACCAGAGAAATGACTGTACTGAATTCCTTTAAAAGTGTAAGGGCCAAATATGGAAGGAGGCTTATAAGTCTGGTTGCTAAAGGCAAAACTAACAAGCGCCATTCCCGTCTGATTAAAACTCTCTTGGCCCAATGGAAAGACCAGTAGATCTATTAGAAGCTGATGATCAGTTGCATTCTCTCTTATGTTTCTTACGGCCACGGAGTCCACCGGATAACTGAACTTCTTGAAGAAACCCGCTATACTCTGCTGGAGCATTACGAAGTTTGTGTTGTTGGAGAACCCTGAGAAAGAAGGAGACCTGAAGAAGAGTATTCCTATGTATGGATACACACAGCGACACGCTGGACTCGGTTCCCTGCCCGGATCACATGGAGCACAATTTGTTGGGAGGGTAGAAAATGAGGTATTGTGTTGGATTGCTGAGCAGTAACTCATCCTGTTCACCACCTCCCGGCACACTGGATTATCTGCCAAACTGTCGAAATGGCAACAGATATAAGTAACGGACTGATGAGAAATAAAAAATCGTTTTCATTTGTGACCACCATACATACATTACTTGGATGCGTGTATTAACCACTTCTTTATAACCCTCTATATTATTGTCTTGTAAATCCACAAACTCCAACTGGTTGCTAATGCTGGTACCGAAGTCCAAGGTTTCGCTAATCTGATTGTGCTTTAGGATACTGTAAGTTGGAAAGAAAAGAAGCATCACTAACAGCATAGATTTCATAACTTTGAGTTGATTTCTAATGTCATGATTGTTTGACTCACACAGTCTGCAATTGAAGCGGGCTGAAAAATGAGGGTGGTATTGAACCATTAAGTTGGATCCCTTCCATCCTCCTGCCAAAGAGCATTTGTTCTTAGCACGTATACATATGGAGATCA